ACGCCGCAGTCGGGACAGCAGTCGGGTGTGGACGGATCGAGCCGGTGTTGGTACTGGCGAAGGACCATTGAGTAGCCACTGCGTACTTGAGCCAGAGTACAGCGGATGACCCTCGGGAATTTTTGTTCTGAGGGCGCAATCGGAGGTGGATAGCCGCTCAAATGGACCGGGGGTGGTAACCTCGTTTTTCCTCGAAAACGGCTCTCTGATGAAGACGTTGGAAGCCTGTCATGATGGCAGAGCCATCAACGGGTAGATCCGAGAGACAAAGGCGGTATCTGCCGCTGGCGGCATAACCTGCTCAAACTGTAGATCTTACTGAAAAAGGAAGGGGTTCTTCGGAAAAATCAAGCTGTACTCGTGGATCTTCGAGCTGCTGATACCAACCCACCTTCAGACGAAAAAAAGGATGTGAAAAAACGAGAACGTCACGCTAGACAGTTCAGGGCGACAGGACGGCTAGTCCACTGACGTGCGAGTTGCTGAGTCATGGTTTGTTTGTAAGCGAGGTGGGGGCGGAACCATTACAGCGCTCTGTGCTGGAGGGCGAGGGCGGATGGTTGGTCGATCGAGTTCCGGGTCACTGCATTGGCGGTCGTTGACGTGTGATTAGGACAGGTTATGGTAAGTCGTGAACTTAGGCCGTCAGATTGGGCGTTCAAGTCAAAGTGACGGTTGATGGTATCCGCACCAGAATACCGAGCCTCTATAAATTCTCGCGCTCGTTTTACTTTGACCATGGCGACCACTGCAGTGTCATGCCACTTAAATCCATGGTCGCACTCGATTGCGTGTGCGAAGACGAGGGACAGGGATCCCGGCAGTGGACCTATAATTACTGTTCGTTGATATAGGTGCCCAGGAGTCAGCCTGTGTGACCAACAGAACAATTTGCGCATGGTATGCGATCAACTACATTTGATTGTTTCTCCTTTGGGATGGGATCCGTTATACGTGATAGCGTTGCGCTTAACGAGGATACTGGTTTGTGTGTGGTGTGGACATGGAAACGACTTAAGTGCCTTGCAGTTACTTCGGAAGTTCCCTGCATATAAGGCGGGGAGTCGAATTTCCATGTCGCAATTTCTCTGCTAGGATTGGGCGCTTGCGATTGTGCTTGACGCCTGAGACAGTCCTTTACAGCACCGATCGGATATTCATTAGATTTAAAAAACCCACACGAGTAAGCAGTTTCTTTCTCGAGGAGATCTTCGCTATCTGAACGATAGGCCGGATGGAGTAGAGTTGGGACGCAGCTTCTTTTGCAAGCGGCGAGGTGCTTGCTGCCATAAGTTAGGATAATCTCAGCATTGGACCCTCTCCTGTAAACGCTTGTGGCTACGGTTCCATCGGTCACATCCAGAAACGGCAGCGCGTCTTCTGCTGCTTGTTCACAAGTAGACTGTATGGCTGGGAAAATCTCATTCCGTCTCTGATGTAGCATTCCGACTTCGCAGTTTTTTATTTTGGCAAATGCATCATCTACACGACGAGGCCATGTTGTGGACTTAAGGGTTTTAATAACCTCTTCCTCTCATCACTGCAATACCGGTTCTGCGAGTAGTCGTGAGATTGGGGTACCCATTACCTGTTGGTGGTACCCGTAGGGCATCCGCTTTGTGCACTTTTAGGTGATCACGTGTGCATGCGATACGGAGATCACTGAGGTTCATCCACTTGGCGTCATCTAGACTTAAGACTTCGATACTATTAGGGGGATTTGGCAGATTTGCTTAACTTGAAAAGTCAATTTTGTCAGGCAAAACATGCTTTTTGGCAACTCTTCTTCAGGGCCTTAACTTTGCAAACAATGGTTGAGTAAAGGCGAAACTAAATCGATCTCGAGCTCTATTCTCGCCTACCTGGTTGATACAAACCACAGAGTCGATACTAGTGAAGCCTTTCAGGTTGTCTACCGGACACCAACCAACCTCTCCAAAGGCCTTCGCCAACGGTGCTGGCAACAGCAGAAACAGTGGCTATAGCCTAATGAATCCAGTACTGTGCTGCCAGAAAACTCTTACACAAGCCCTGTC